CTTGTTTACAATAGCCAGATAGCTTTCATAGAAAAGTTTCACTGTATAATTCTGCAAATTGCTATTTTTAAAAAGTATTTTTGCCTTCTTTTATTTTCAAACTATTCAGAAGTTTATAACTGATTTCATACTTTATTGCCGTTGTTATATTTTATTTTATAATCATTATGTCATTCTATTATAATCATTATTCTCAACTGTAGTTGATATTGAATGAAAGATTAATTTTATAAGAAGCATGATTTATCATCATAGATAAATTATTTGACAGCTTTCATTTCTAAGGTCACTCTTGAAGGCATTAGGTAGGAAAAAGGATTATAAACAATGATAGTATCCAATGCATGATGGGGAAAAATAATTTTTCTTTAACTACCACAAAAAAAATGAAACATTAAAAATAATTTTGTTTTCACTCATGCATGCTTAAAATATACCAGGCTCCAATGATATTCTTCACAAATTAAATGTATTTTGAACCCTCATGTTTTTCTACATTTTTAGAATTTTGTTTTATGAAATATTTATTTTTTTGCTCACTGTATGAGGGAGGGTGATATGTTGTCAACTTCCCACCAAAAAGAAAGAAATGGCCTAGAGTCACAAAATGTACATGCTATTTTACATTCATTTTGAAGTTCAGCACAACTTCCCTTGCAGGTTCTCATGTTATTTAAACCTTAAAAATATCTGATGTTTAGTCATTGATATACTGGTTTTGGGATGTTGGTTGGGCTGAGAGCTTTTCAACATACATTCGTATTTAATAATTGAATCAATTGTTTATTGGTTTCATATTCTGAATTGATAATTCAGAATAGATGCCTGAAATCATGTTAACTAATAAATGGGGAAACAAATGTAAATATTATCTAAATCTTTTGCCTAAAGAATAATAAACCATTATATTGATTTTTACTCTTTGCTTATTGAATAAGTGTAGCTTAGTCTGGCACAAGGCCACATAAGTGAGGTACTCATTGAAGATTAATTTACTTTGACCATTAAACTATTGGAAGGTACCAAATGTGAAAGTATTTTTTAATCAGTTTCACCCCATGCAAAGCAGAAAAGCCACTAAGACACAAGTGGTTACTGGGTGTGGAAGAATTAGGAATAGAAACAATAATGAGCAAAAAGAGAAAAGAGTAATCAGGAGTACAGCAGATAGTGATTGACATTGCATTTAAATTTTTGCAGATTAAAGTTGGCTGGAAAGCATGGAGTCAGAAAGGGGTTCCATGAGCAAAAAGTGTGAGAAAAGAAATAGCATAGAATTTACAGTTACATCTAGCAGCCAGCTCAACTGCAAATTGATGAGATCTTGATGCCAGTCTAGTACCGTGCTTAAAATCATAAAGTCTAGGTACCACAGTGAAGAGCTCATCAGAACAATTACCATAAAAGTATTTATAGAAAAGGCATAGAGAGGTAACCTTATAGCATTTGGAAACTGACTGAAGTCAAGCTGCCAGATCAGGACAAATAATATTGATGATTCTTCTTTTATCAAGAAGCTCAAAGTAAATAGCAGGAGAAGCAAAATTCTAAGCATGGGTGAATGGTAGACACAGATATGTAAGATAGATTCTGGAGAAAAAAAACTGTCTCGCATGACACAATGAACTAACTTTCTTAGCAGCTGACCTAGCAATGTTTGAAAAGAGGTTTTTACTATTTTATACAAGAGTATTTTTTGTTTCATAAAATAAAAAAATATAATTTTTCATTAGCCTTTACAATTGACAAATAGTCACCTAATCTCATTTTTTACAAGTAATATTAACAAAGTATGAATTTTGTATATGCCTATGAAATATACAATCTTAATTCAACATATAATGGGATATGTTAAGGGTTCCTTAATTGATATCAGAGAAATTTTATTTGAAAACAGCTTGAGAAATATTCAGTTATTTATGTGGAGTAAATAGACATGGTAAAATGCAAAATAAATAACAGAACAGGCCAACTAAATGAATTGACAAAGTTTGCAGTAAAAAAAGGAATGAAAGGAACAGGGCAAAAAATAATATAAACCAAGCAAGCAATATATGCAAGGCAGTAATAAAGCAAAACAACAGTACTATGGCAAAAAGTTCACAAACTAAGATTTGGCATTGATACACAAAAGCAAGTTCAGACAAGTGAATATAGTGTTTAACTTCAAGACAAGACAGACTGGGACTGATTTAGATGAAACTGAGAACTGGTCAATTTTATTGGCTAGGAAGAAATCCCAGCATGCATTTGTGTGCTTCTGCCTATAAATTGGGGAGGGGAAAGTATTTTGATGTCACTCCCTATTAGACTGAAACCAACAATTTATAGATAAATAAAAAAGAAATCAGCATTAAAGAAACCCACCAAAAAGTGGCTACTAAAAAAAAACTGCACAAATATTATAATTTCATCAGTGATCTTGCATATCACAAAATCATTATAGATTATTATCATAAAACATTTAATATTGTTGTAGGATTAGGTAGCAATAACACCATATGAAAATATACACTTTCCTCTTTACTAAGGGAGTGACAAAGAAAACACTCTCTCCTATATATTTCCTTTCCTTCCTTCTACTTTTCCTATCCTCGGTAACGGACATGAACCCAGATTTAGTTTACATGGGTCAGTGAATGTCATAAAAAAAAATGACAACATGTCCTGCAAAAAATCAAATGGGAAACATGGATGTGTCAGCCCCAATAAAAAGAAGAAAACCACATATGAGAATAGAGACGCTGCAGGGAGAGGAACTTGATTCAAGGTAGCAGTTCAAGATGCAAGGGTTAGTAATTCATCGTCTGTGAGTTTGACCTGACATACAAGTCCAGAAGAGAAAGAAGAAAGGATGAAATCAACAAATTAATTTCCGTCAACCCCGAAGGAACACAACCACCTGCTATGAATTCACAAATCACAAAAAAAAAAAACGAACAATGACGGTAGTAAACCATTTTAAACACTGTAACCAAATGGAGTCAACAATAAATGGTACTATAGACAGTAAAATTTGGCCTTTACTTCATCTCTGTATACCATAATATATTTGTATTTTAAGCTTTCATTTTAATTAATTTGTAAAAAAATATATAACAGGATAACTTCAGCCTTCTTTCTATGCATATACAAAGCTGTGTAAAAATTCAGATATTTTTTTTTTCACAGTAAGGTTCACCCTGTACAAGTCTCGAGAGCCACTCAAAGTAGAGGGTTATGTTAAGGGGTAATTTATATGGATAGGAGGGAGAGGATAATGGTTAACTCTAGATTTGGACAGGTTAAGATTATAGTGATATTGGGAGTTTGTTCCACAGGGTTGTGTTTTGCAGAAAGATACTGTTTGAGTTGTACTTACTTCTTGCCAATGGAATATGGAGGAAATGCGGGTGGTTTGCTACTATGTAAGTAGCATAGTGGTTCCTAGTTGTGAAGGTTAGACCTGGCGGAAGCAAGGAATATAGTTTGTCCGAGCATTTTCCATGGAAATATTGATAGAGCAGTGAGAAACTTGCTACATCCTGCCTGTGAGAGAGAGATTGGAGGTGGGGAAAATAATTCTTCTCCAACAAGGACTTGGAGACGCTTTTGAATTCTATCAAGACTGGAAAGTGAGGAAAATAAAGTATATTTGTAAAAAAAACAATATCAATAAAGAAAAACCTTTCTTTACCCACTCATTTAGTCATCTGGTAGACTTCATCAAGGTAAATGTAAGGATTTTATTTTGCAACATATATTTATAATGAAGTAAAAATATTGTTAGGATTTCAAAATTTTTAAATTTAATAATGCTCACAAATATTCTTAAGGCTAACTTTGAATGTCAAGGGGAATTATGTTGGATAATATATCATGTAATTTCATATCTAATAAACAAAATTCAGTAAATGTTGTCATTTTTGTTGATATTTCCTTTTCTTTTTGGTTGTATATATATATATATATATATATATATATATATATATATATATATATATATATATATATATAGGCCAACAATATATAAAAAAATTACAACCTTTAAATTCGGAGAGTTGCCTCTAACACACAGACACACACATACATACATATATATATATATATATATATATATATATATATATATATATATATACTAACCTTTGAATGACTCATATATACACCTGTAGTGTACATATCAATGAAATCAACTAGGAGTAGGGTACACAAGCATGCCAAATTAATAGTTGGCAAAAGATATTGAAACCAACTTGTAGTGAAAAAAAAGTAAACAGAAAACAAAAGTAGATATATATAACAATAAAATAAACATGGTATATTTATCATATAATCATATCCTGAAGTGTTTACCAGAATTGGTCAAATAAATTCCGTTTCTGTTCTGATTTTATATATATATATATATATATATATATATATATATATATATATATATATATATATAAAGACAAAAGTAAAATTTTCTTTACCAACACGTTTTGTCCTTTGATGGACTCTTTAAAGGTAAATGTAAGGCTTTTATTTTGCAACATGCATTAATAAACAAATAAAAATAAGAAGCTTATAAAAATTTTGAAATTTAAGAATGCTCAAAAATATTCTTCAGGCTAAATGTAAACTCTGGATGATGCTAAAGGCCGTAATTTAATGTCTAATAAACAAACACTGTATATTTGATTTTTTCACTCACTCAAGTTCCATAGACTCCACTGAAGAGTCTGAGACCACAGTTCTCAGCATGCTAGGTATTTTGCTGCTGTTGTTTCTGCAGCAAGTAGGTATTTTACAGAATGGAGTTACTCACCCCATGCCCAACAAGTTTTGAATAAATAGTTGTCCTTCTCCTAGTCTGATTGCCAACCAAGTCTGCCCTACTATTTAACCCCTAGTTGGGAGGAGAAAAGATGGATTCATTCTAAGGGTCACAAACATTAAGGAAATGTATGAATCCATCTTGTGAAACTTGAATGGAATTCAAACTCAGCTTGTCAATTTCTCATTCTGAGCAGCTGACTTACGGCCACATTATTTTGAAACACCAGTTCTCATCCAATCACCAAAGTTAAGAAATGCCAAGCCTGGTCAGTATCTAGATGGGTGGGAATTTGGGAATACCAGTTGCTGTAAGCTTGGATGTACCGATAAAGTAATGATAACGGCTCAAAAGTGGAAGTCAGAGGACTGAGTTCCAATTTGAATTAGTTATATTCACCTATGCACAAATATCCTTAAAAAAGGTATGAATCTTCCTCTTCTGCTCCCAGTTATGGGTTAATTAGTAGGGCTTGTATCAGTAAATCATTATCTCCAACAAAAATCTTACAATGTAAAAATATTTTCTGGCTTTAAATAACCTGCAAATGGTTAATAAGCTGTAAAATACAAATCAATTAATTCTGAGTTGTTAACCATTTCAGTACCTGCACATCCATGTATATGCCTGAAGAGTGCTGAAAACTTCTTGGCCCAATCAAAAACCTTTCTTCCCAAAATTCTGATGTTTGGTTAAACTCTGGGAATGTCCTGTCGACTGGGGTTTCAGAATATGCCAACTGCAGCTCTGCAGAGGACTAAGACCTCTCCAATAAGGTGTCCTGGGTATGACAATAAACTACATCTGGCAGTAAGGCCACTTATCAGGAGGTTTTGATGAGTGTGAAACCACCTACTAATTGCTGGTGTTCCCAGGTCCACACTGACTTGGGTCCCAGCTATGAGCAAATAGTTAACCCCAAATTGGGGTCAAAACACTATGAAAGTGCAAAAATAGGTTTTAATACTAGCAATATATTTTTGGAAAAAATTTACCAGCAATAAAAATTCTTGTTGGCCTTAAATAATTCATTGAGGTTGATATGCTGTAAAACAAAACAAGACAAACAACAAACTCTGGGAAGTGGGTCAGGTTGAAAGTTTTTCGGTACCATTTGATATATTAATTCTTTTAGGAATGTTTCGCGATACTGTAAGGAATTGTTTCAGAATGGATTTATTTTGGTCAAATAATAACAGGGAAGAGCAAAATAGACAACTGTTTGGATTGTTTCATTTACCTTTATTTAATATTAAACTGTGAATGAAGACACAGACTTTGATAGATGCTTTTCTGCTTGCATTTCTGTGTATATGGAAGCTTGCTTATGAGCAAATATAATTCTGTGTATTCATGCAGGTATATACAGGTTTGGTCAGATGACACAAAGATACATGCAAAGTGCATATGCATAAACACATGTATGAACAGGTGCTGAAAAAGTTTCAGCTAAACCCACTTCCCAAAATCTGACTAAATGACCTCATTATTTTAGATGTAAATATGGGCTTCTTGGCATTCTATAACATTTATTATTCTTTTACTAATTGATTTTCTTAAATTTTCTATTTTTTTCAACTATCTTACCTTCCACTGTTATTTGCTTGAATATTGTTTTCCATTATCATATATATCTTTTTTAACGATGAAACAAGTTTTTTTTTTGGGGGGGGGATTAATATCTGGAGTGTTTAGGAGTCATTTTATTAATTTGGTGATTCAAAACCTTTTTCTTGGCAAGATGGACAGTAGTCAGCTTTTCAAAAGGATCATTTTCTTGCAAGAATATGCTCTTTAGCTTAATTATTTGGTTATGATTGATAGTACAAAAAAAAGGTCTTGTTGAAGAATTTAAAATCTGAAGATTTTATCAAAATTATTTTAAGGGACATCTAATTTTACTTCCCACAATACTATCCCAAAATATTACTTAACCACCCTGCTGTTTCTTTTTAAATTGTGTTGGTTGATTATTTCTATGAAGAATCTATCTATCTATCAAGTCCATTCAATGTAACTATACATTCATCTCTAATTGTTGCTTTTATTATACTAATATTTCTGTTATTTTTTTAATTATTCTGATTCTGATATTGTCTTTCCATAACTCGATAACTTTACATCTTCTCTGTTGAGGTTATATCTGTTTTTACGACCTATGCCGATCTTCATATATCTGAAATTAGAAAATAAATGTCAGTTACAGTACAGTGATATATATTTTTATTTCCAGTACTATCAACAACGCTTGAGTTGCATAATCTCACACCATCAAGGAAGTTATTGTAAATAAAATTCACATGGTGCATTTATCAAATGAATAAAAGTATAAGCTGAATATTTTAGCAATATAAGTTGGCTTACACAAATTTTATTGGGAAAACACTGATTTGTATATCAGACATGCACTATATACAGGACGTGATGGGTAAATTGTTGGCATTTTATATTTTTAATTTTGTGCATTTTCAACTGCACAGTAGGGTTAGTTAGGCATCATCTGTGAAAATAAGAACATCATGACACAATTCACTCTGCCAGAAATTTGGAAACGGCATGCTGTATTGCTTGGCATTTGCACCGGAAGCACGAATACGAACATTTCAGAGTGTTTGAGTGTCAGTCAGAAGGCAGTGAAGAGGATTTGGTAAGAGTTGTATGAGTCTAACAATGATAATGAATGTACGGCAACTCGGAAAACTTTTTGATAAGAAAAATACTCTCAAATTTGTTGGTAAAGGCTTCAGACACAGCCCGGGGGCCTACATCAAGTACCTGGAGGAGGTAGTGCTGCCCTGGGTCAAAAGGGTGACTGCTGGAAGACCCTATGTCTGGCAACAGGACTCTGCACCATGCTACACAAATAAGAGAACCTAATCATGACTGTCAGGCAATTTCTGCAATCACATAACCCCTTACATCTGGCCGCCTAAATCCCCAGACGGCATCCCCTTGATTATTATGTGTAGGGTGCAGTTGAGTGAGAGACCAACAAAACTACTTGTAGCACCAAAGATGAACTGAAGGCAAGGATTATGGCAGCATTCACCAACAAAAACAGGGAGACCATCCAGAAGAGATGCAGGAGCTTCCCAAGTCGTCTGGAGGCCTTGGTTGAAGCCAATGGAGATTTTACTGAATAAATTTACTCTTTAGTATTTCAAGATATTTTTGTGTACTTTTGGTAAATAAATCTGTTAAAATGAGATATCAGTGTTATTTTCATTTTTTGCGTAATTTAGATAACAATTTATCCATAGCATCATATATATATATATATATATATATATATATATATATAAAGGTACCTCCAAAGAAAAACCTTACCTAAGTTTGAAAATGAATTTTTGAAGGGGAAAAATCTTTCTTGAAACTTAAATTTTTGTTTTAATTTCAAGCTAATATACTAAATTTAATATTTCTAATAAGCAAAATGATTTGCTGTATTTCAAACTGAATATAACTTGATTGGAATTATTTTTATCAGTAAAATCATCCATAATGACAAATCTGTCAACACAGCGTAATTCACTTTATTAAAACATTTTTCAAAAGTGAAATACACTTTTCTGAAACTTTATTTGAGCATGATTATCTGATTTAACATGGAGGTAGGTGTCAATAACTTTCATGATAGACTTATATTTGGGAATTTTTCTAAGGCAAACATAACTTTAGCAATTACTTGTCAAGTATAACATGGACACCATTTTTATATAATTTTTTTAACTACCCAGTAATCTTAAAAGTTTAATAAAATAATATAAGCTATCCAATATTTAATTGAATTTTAGGCATTTTGGCTTTATAGTCTAACTTACAAATTATGCTTGCTGATGGAATGTTAAAAATTACCAACTGACACATACACAGACAAAAAAAATATTTAAAAAAAATGAAAATAATTCTTGTAAAAATTCATTATTCATCAAAAGAATTTTTTCTCAAGGCAAAAGTGTCCATAATATATATTATTCATAAAAACAATTAAAAGCTTTTCTAACTAAATAATGTCTTAATTTTATAGCATTTTTTATCTTATAATTCAAAGCAAATTTTATGTAACTGGGAGATGCTGTTTTACAAAATAAAATTGGTAATTTAAATTCTTCAAGGATTTGTGTTTATTAATAATATATACATTAAATGCTATAACATTCAGTTTTGTGAAATTTCATAAAATTAAATGTGATGAGGGGTAGAAAAGTGTAAAAAAGAAAAAAAAATTTACCAAGATTTTTTTTGAAAAAGCAATGTTTTTAAAATAATCTAATTCATTTGTGAATAAGTCCTGAAAGTTTCATTAGAATCCATAAATATCTGATTTTTGCAAGAATTTCCAAATTTTTCACCAATAAAAGGTGCTAATATTTTCCATACTAATTTATGCTCACCTGCTGATACATGAAAATCAACATTTTTATCCTAAATTTTGAAAGTTCTTAGAAGGATTAAGAACTATAATTTGATAATCAAAAAATCCTTTGATCATTCCTCTTAATAATAAAAATTTTGAAACAAATCTTTGTTTTTAAGTTTTGTGGCATTTTTTCATCATGTATGCTCATATTTTTAGCAAATCTTTGGAGAAAACAAACATACACACACACACACACACACACACACACACACACGTATGTGTGTGTGTGAAAGAGAGAGAGAGAGAGAGACATATTGTACAATTTAAGTCAGGCTCATGCAGAATTTATTACAACAGTATGATAAGAATTGGTATTAAGATAAACATATAAAATAAATAATTACATTCTTAATTCACATAATAATTAAAATATACATAAAATTTAATTCATATTAGTTTTGGTTGTCAGATTAAATTCTGCATAGTAAAATGTGCTGTGTTCATTCTTAGCATTAGTATAGGTGTATTTATATACATATGAATTGAAAGATTTCTTAGGGCAAAGATATTCTTTTTGTATATGTATTTAATCAGTGAAATATCCAGTTGTGTTGATATTTATTAAGCATAGTTTAACCTGGTACAATATCACAAGTGTGGGAATACCAAGTCATACAAAGATAAATATCTCTTTGTAACATGATAAACACAACTGATAATTGATAAATTTGTTTATAAGCTTTTTAAGTTACAAATCTCAGTCTTATTACTTGAAATGTTATTTTTACTGAATAGCATTGTCTGAAAATAGATGCCCTGCTCTTTTTATTTTAATTTAAAAAGTGTGTATTACAGGATGGGGTGAGGACGTCTATGACCTGTCTGTCTACACGCACACACGATACACCCTATTTAAAATAAAAAATGGGGTATCTATTTCAAACACAGATATTCA